CGCGCGGGTGAGAAGTGTGGGGGTGCCCACCCCACATAGCGCTGCTTTGGCCGCCTGACGGACGCTTGGCGTCAGCAGTTCCCGGAGGCCAGTGAGATCCCCCGCTGGGGAGAGCTTTCTAGGGCAGGCGTAGCTATCTATGATCTTGACTTAGATGCTATTCTTGCTGACATGTATGCTGTGACTATTAGTGATGAGAGTGACTGTTAGCGGTGTTTCCCGCCCGACCCAGGCATTGGTACTGCTGCTCTAGGTGCTGGTGAGGCTGCTGCTCTAGGTGCCAGTGCGTCTGCGCCCTCAGGTGCTGGTGAGTCTGCGCTCTCAGGTACCACGTCGGCTTCGGCCTCCCTCACCTTTACACTTGACTCAGGGGCTTCTCGCTCCTTTCGAGACCGCACCACACTCACGCCGCTTGGTCGACCGGTTGTAGTCTCCCTGGCAGACCCCTCTGGGGGTCCTGTCCTCTCTCACTTCTCCACTGTCCTCCCGTGTCCGGGTGCCTCCTCTGGCACCTTGTCTGGTCTTTACCTCCCCTCGTTCTCTACGAACTTGGTGAGGGGTGCTGACCTGCAGGATACGCGGGTTCACCAGTTTACTCCTGCGAGTCAGCGGGTGACCCACTGCTCGGACGCTCGCACAGGCCGGCACCTGGCCACGTTTACGCGTCGGCCGGGGTCGAGCCTCTACACCCTGACCACTAGGTCTCCTTCTGTCCCTGCGTCTAGCCAGGTAGCTGCGTCGGGTCAGGTGTTTGCTGCAGCGTCCAGGTCTGGTCCTGAGTCTGCCCCCTGCTCGTGTCGCCTCCTGTCTCACGAGACTCTCCTGTGGCACCACCGTCTTGGTCACCCCTCCCTGCCTCGTCTCCGAGGCATGGCTTCCCGTGTCCTTGTCTCTGGTCTCCCCCGGTCCCTCCCTCCCCTTCCTCCAGGGCCTGGTCCTTCCTGTGTTCCCTGTGTCGAGGGGCGGCTCCAGGCTGCCCCTCACTCCTCTCAGTTTCCCCCGACAGAGGCCCCGCTGCAGACGCTTCACATGGACGTGTGGGGCCCAGCCCGGTTCCGTGGACAGGGTCACGAGCGCTACTTCCTGCTGGTGGTTGACGACTACTCGCGTTACACCTCAGTCTTCCCCTTGCGCAGCAAGGGTGATGTCACTGAGGTGTTGATCGACTGGATCCGCGCAGCTCGTCTCCAGCTCAGGAGGAGCTTCGGCTCGGACTTTTCTGTTCTGCGTCTGCACTCTGACCGAGGCGGAGAGTTCTCCTCTGGCCTTCTGCAAGCCTTCTGCCGTGCGCGAGGCATCCGCCATACCTTTACGCTTCCGGACTCTCCACATCAAAATGGGATTGCTGAGCGCCGCATTGGCATGGTCCATGATGCATGCGGCTGCCCCCCATTTTCTGTGGCCGTTTGCGGTTCGGTACGCGGCGCATCAGAAAAACCTTCACCCCAGGGTCTCCATGCCGGAGACCTTCCCAGCTCTGCTGTGGACGGGGAAGGTTGGCGATGCGTCTGCGTTTCGTGTCTGGGGATCTCGGGCGTTTATCCGCGACTTGTCTGCGGACAAACTGTCCCCTCGTGCTGCTCCTTGTGTCTTCCTTGGCTTCCCCCCTGACGCACCAGGGTGGCAGTTCTACCACCCCTCCTCTCGTCGTGTTCTGTCCTCCCGGGACATCACGTTTGACGAGTCGATCCACTACTACCGTCTCTTCCCCTACCGCACTCCTTCCCTCCCCCCGCTGCCGCACTTCCTTGTGCCAGGTCCCCCCCAGGTAGACCCCCTCCCCCCTCAGGGTCCTGCCCCTTCAGGTGTATCCCAGGTAGACGCAGTCGAGCCGGTCGAGGTTGCTGGTGACTCTGGTACTGCTGCGGGTGCTGAGCCTGGGGGTGCTGACTCTGGGGGTGCTGCGCGAGTGGGTGCTAAGCCTGGGGGTACTGAGCCTGGGGGTGCTACGACTGGGGGTGCTGAGCCTTGGGGTCCTTCGCCTGGGGGTGCTGCGTCTGGAGCTGCTGAGCCTGGGGGTGCTGCATCTGGAGCTGCTGAGCCTGGGGGTACTGAGTCTGGAGCTGCTGAGCCTAGGGGTGCGGAGCCCGCAGCCGCTGGACCTGCTGGTGTGGCGTCTGGCGGTACTGGGCCTGGTGGTTCTCCGGGTGCTTCGTCTGGGCGGGAGCCACTCTCTCCACAGGAGCTGCGCGAGTGGTTTGCCCGACGCTGGAGGCGTATTGCTGGAGCTCGTGCTTCTTCGGCTGCTGAGGGTGCAGGTGTCGCCGGTCTCGGAGGTGCTAGCCCTGGGAGTGCTGGAGCTGCTGGGCCTGCGAGTGCGACTAGAGTCGGAGCTGCTGAGGGTGTTGGCGCTGAGGCTACTGCTGTCAGTCCTAGCGGCGGTCCTGCTGCGGGTGCTGCAGGTGCTATTGGAGGTACTGGAGCTGGAGGTGCTGTTGGCGCTGGTGCTGCCTCTGGGGGTGCTGGTGCTGTCCCTGCTGTGTCTGGAGTCGCCACGCGGCCTCGGCCGTACTTCGTTCCGCTCTTTCAGCAGGTTCTTGGTCTTCCTCCTCCCTTAGAGTGTCCACCGCCTGTCCAGTCACAGTCACAGTTACCGCCGACCTCCCCACTGCCTGCTCCTTCTCCCTACACTGGTCCTACTGGAGGTCTTACTGAGCGTCGTGAGCCTGCGTCTCGTCCTGCGTCGCCGGTTCGTACTGCTCGCGCTAGTGGTTGCGGTTCGCGTCAGCGTCCTCCTCCTGTCCCTGGCACGCACCGGATGTCTCTGCGTCCGTCCACTGCTCCTCTGCGTGCCCCTTTGCCTTCTCCTCCTGAGTCCTCTCTTCCTGCCCTTGCCGACCCGGAGTCGGACTCTCTTCGTGCTGCCAGTCCTACTGTCACGCGTCTCCTTGCTACTGTCGTCACTGACCCCTCTTTTGAGTCCACTGCTGCGTATGCTCTTGTTGCTGAGCTCGTCGACTTTGCTGCTCGCTGTCGCCTAGACTATGTTGCTAGTCTTGTTGCTGAGTCTGTGTCTATCTGTCCTCCGTCCGTCAAGGGTGAGTGTGCTCTTGGCACGGACGTCCTTGAGGACAGGCAGGAGGAGTTCCAGTGTCTGGCTGCTGCTTCACCTCATCTCGCGTCCGTACTGCTTACCCCTGAGGGAGACCCGGATGCACTAGACATCCCGACTCCGCGCTCTTACGCGGAGGCCGTAGAGGGTCCCTACTCCTCTCAGTGGCAGGCAGCTATGGATGCAGAGATGGCTTCCTGGAACTCCACAGGCACCTACGTTGACGCGGTTCCCCCACCTGGGGCGAACATCGTCAGTGGCATGTGGATCTTCAGGGTGAAGCGGCGGCCGGGCTCTCCGCCTGTCTTCAAGGCGCGGTACGTGGCTCGTGGCTTCAGTCAGCGGCAGGGAGTTGACTACTTTCAAACCTTCTCTCCCACCCCGAAGATGACCACTCTTCGGGTACTACTACACATAGTCGCTGAGCGTGACTACGAGCTTCACTGCCTTGACTTCAGCACTGCTTTCCTGCAGGGTAGCCTGCACGAGGAGATCTGGCTGCGCCGCCCACCTGGCTTCACTGGGACTTTCCCTCCTGGCACCCAGTGGAGCCTCCGACGGCCAGTCTACGGTCTCCGCCAGGCACCGCGCGAGTGGCACGACACACTGAGGACTACGCTTGCGGCTCTTTGGTTTGCTCCCTCTACTACTGACCCGTCGCTGTTTCTACGCACCGACACATCTTTGCCGCCGTTCTACATCCTCGTGTACGTCGACGACTTGGTCTTTTCCACTGCTGACACTGCTGGACTCGCCCACGTGAAGTCCGAGCTGCAGAAGAGACACATGTGCGCAGACCTGGGTGAACTGCGCAGCTACCTTGGCTTGCAGATCACCCGGGACAGAGCACGCCGCACCATTACCCTGACTCAGTCACACATGGTGCAGCAGGTCCTTCAGCGCTTCGGCTTCACGTACTCCTCGCCTCAGGCCACTCCTCTGTCTACTCGCCACTCGCTCTCAGCTCTGCTTTTGGATGAGTCCGTAGAGTCGAGTGGCCCGTACCCAGAGCTTGTTGGCTGCCTCATGTACCTGATGACCTGCACACGACCTGACCTTGCATACCCTCTTAGCATTCTTGCACGCTATGTTGCTCCTGGGAGACACAGACCAGAGCACATGGCTGCAGCGAAGAGGGTGTTGCGCTACTTGTGCAGTACGTCGGGCATGGGGCTAGTGCTTGGAGGGCAGAGTCCAGTGGTCCTCACTGGGCACGCGGACGCTTCTTGGGCTGACGACCAGGCTACGCAGCGGTCGTCACAGGGTTACACCTTCAGCCTTGGTTCCGGCTCTGTTTCGTGGCGCGCTACTCGCTCGTCTTCTATTCTCGGCTCCAGTTGTGAGGCCGAGATCTACGCCGGGGCCATGGCTGCCAGGAGCTTCACTGGCTCACCTATCTGCTGACCGACCTTGGAGAGCCGCCTTGTTCTCCTCCAGTCCTGTACGTAGACAACAAGGCCATGCTGGCCTTGTGTCGAGAGCAGAGACTGGAGCACAGAGCAAAGCACATTGCTCTTCGCTACTTCCTTGCTCGTGAGCTACAGCAGCGTGGTCAGTTGCGACTTGCGTACGTGGCCTCTGAGGCCAACACTGCTGATGTTTTCACCAAGGCACTTGCGCCTTGTGATCATCAGCGCTTCTGTACTCAGCTTGGTCTTGTGCCTGTCTTGCCTCACTTGCTCACTTCTTGACCTTGCTTGTACTGTCACATATATATACACCTGCTCTTATTTGCTTAGCCTCTTATATATATACATATATGTGCTCCTGCATGTGAACTGGCCTTCTGGCCTTGAACTTGTGCTGGGAATGTGTGCTAACTTTGTGATCCACCCTGAGCTTTGCTTTGCTTTGCTTGACTGGTCTTGTGACCCCTTGTTCTCCCCCGCTTTGCCTATGGGGGTGTGTCAAATTATAATGTTGTCTAGGCTTTAGTGGGGTAGCCCATATGGGGTACACATTTCTAGGGTTGCATATTTGTATCACTTTCATTCCATAGTCCTTCATTCTCGTTCTACTTTCCTCAGCCCCGACGCCGCCCTTCCCTGCCTCGGCGCCGCCTCTGCTTGCCCCGTCGCCTACCCCTGCGGCCCCGGAGCTGCCCTTCCCGGCCCCGGCGCCGCCTCTACTGGACCCGACGCCGCTCCACCCGGCCCCGCCGCCGCTCCACCCCGCCCCGCCGCCGCTCCACCCGGCCCCGCCGCCGTCCCCACGCGGCCCCGCCGTCACCACCGAGCCGCCGGCGCTGCCGAGCTGCTACTGAGCCGCCCGATCCGCCCGAGCCGCCGCTCCACCTGAGCCGCCCGAGCCGCCGGGTCGCCGAGCCGCCGGGTCGCCGAGCCGCTGAGCTGCAGTTGCTGCCGAGCCGCTGTACCGCCGAGCCACCCGAGCCGCCTGAGCCGCCGAGTCGCCGAGCCGCACTTGCTGCGCTGCCCGAGCCGCCCGAGCCGCCCGAGCCGCCGAGTTGACGAGGCGCCGAGTTGACGAGCCGCCGAGCCGCCCGAGCCGCCCGAGCCGCCCAGTCCGGTAAGAGCAGCGCCTCTGTCACTGCACTGCCCTTACCCTAATGTTCGCGCTGCTAGCCTACTGCTGTCATGGCTACCCCTAGTGTCCTCGCTTTTGACGCTGAGGGTCAGGCCATTGACTTTGACGTCTGGGTAGATGACCTGCAGCTTTTCCTACAGTGCGATAGGGCAGACGGTCTCTCCCTCTTTGACCTCACCTCTGGTGCCTCTCCTGCCCCTGCTGCTGATGCCGACGCCACTGTTCGCTCACAGTGGGCCACACGTGATGCTGCTGCACGTCTTGCTGTGCGTCACCACCTGCCTACCTCTGAGCGTGCGCACTTTAGCCAGTACAAGAGTGCTCAGACCTTGTACGACGCTGTAGTTGCGCGCTACTCCTCCCCTGCCACTGCTGCACTGAGCCGCCTCATGCTACCGTACCTCTTCCCTGACCTTGCTGCCTTTCCCACAGTCGCTGACCTCATTACGCACCTCCGCACTAGTGAAACTCGCTACTGCGCTGCGCTTCCTGCTGAGTTCTGCGCCAAGAACCCCCCCCCCCCCCCATGTACATCACCCTCTACCACATAGTCACCTGGCTCCCTGACTCCCTTCGTGTAGTCAGGGACCACTTCCTCTCAGTTGACCTCCTTGAGAAGGCCCTCCTAGCAGCACAGAAGAGCATAGTCGCTGTAGGAGCCTCTCGTGGTGACCCTCGCACCCCCGTCTTTGAAGGGTGTTCCCCCTCCCCCCTTTTGCCCTCTGTTGCCTCTGCTGCTGCGGCCGACCTCGTTGGTTTCGAGTCAATCGGCGATGCGTCTGCCCCAAGCGGGAGACGCCGCACCGGCAAGGGTAAGGGGGGCAAGGGTCCTGGAGGGGCTGGCGGGGGTGGTGGAGGTGGCGGTGGAGGCAGTGGAGGGGATGGGGGTGGTGGTGGGAGTGGTGGCAGGGGTGGAGGTGTTGGTGGCGCTAGTGGAGGCGGAGGCGGCGAGGGCGGTGGCAGTGGGAGCGGAGGTGGCGGAGGTGGCGGTGGTGGAGGAGGCGGCGGCGGAGGCAATGGAGCTGGTCGGGGTGGCGCTGCGCAGAGGGTCCGCTCCGGTGGTGGTCAGCGCCAGCAGCAGCAGCAGCAGCAGCGCACTCATGATATCCCCCCCCCTCAGCAACTCCGTGAGTGGTACGCTGCACGCCAGCAGGGTGGGGGTACTGGTCCGTGCACCTACGTCCTACGCACCGACGACCGCGCGGGTGAGCAGTGCGGGGGTGCGCACTCCACCCAGCGCTACTTTGGCCGCCTGACGGACGCTTGGCGTCACCAGTTCCCTGAGGCCACTGAGATCCCCCGTTGGGGCGAGCTATCTAGGGCGAGAGTAGCAGTCTTTGACCTTGACTTTGATGCTATTCTTGCTGCCATGTATGCTGTGACTATTAGTGATGAGGGTGACTACTACCGGTGTTTTCTGCCCGACCCGGGCATTGAGATTGCTGCTCTAGGTACTGGTGAGGCTGCTGCTCTTGGTGCTAGCGAGGCTGCTGCTCTAGGTGCTCGTGCGTCTGCTCCCTCAGGTGCTAGTGAGTCTGCTCTCTCAGGTACTGCGTCGACTTCGGCCTCCCACACCTTCACCCTTGACTCGGGGGCTTCTCGCTCCTTCTTTCGAGACCGCACCACACTCACGCCGCTTGGCCGGCCGGTTGCAGTCTCTCTTGCAGACCCCTCTGGGGGTCCTGTCCTTGCTCACTTCTCCACTGTCCTCCCGTGTCCAGCAGCCCCCTCTGGCACCCTGTCTGGTCTTTACCTCCCCTCGTTCTCTACGAACTTGGTGAGTGGTGCTGCCCTAGAGGATGCAGGGGTTCATCAGTTCACTCTTGCGAGTCAGCGGGTGACCCACTGCACGGACGCTCGGACAGGCCGACACCTGGCCACGTTTACACGTCGGTCGGGGTCGAGCCTGTACACACTGACCACTGCGTCTCCTCCAGTCACTGCGTCTGGTCAGGTAGCTGCGTCTCGTTAGGTGTTTGCTGCATTGTCCAGGTCTGGTCCTGAGTCTGCCCCCTTCTCGTGTCGCCTCCTGTCTCACGAGACTCTCCTCTGGCACCACCGCCTTGGTCACCCCTCCCTGCTTCGTCTCCGAGGCATGGCCTCCCGTGTCCTTGTCTCTGGTCTTCCCCGATCCCTCCCTCCCCCTCCTCCGGGGCCTGGCCCTACCTGCATCCCTTGTGTCGAGGGGCGGCAGCGCGCTGCCCCTCACTCCTCCCAGTTTCCTCCGACAGAGGCCCCGCTGCAGACGCTTCACATGGACGTGTGGGGCCCGGCCCGCGTCCGTGGACAGGGTCACGAGCGCTACTTCCTGCTGGAGGTTGACGACTACTCGCGTTACACCACAGTCTTCCCCTTGCGCAGCAAGGGTGATGTCACTCAGGTGTTGATCGACTAGATCCGCGCAGCTCGTCTCCAGCTCAGGAAGAGTTTCGGCTCGGACTTTCCTGTTCTGCGTCTGCACTCTGACCGAGGCGGAGAGTTCTCCTCTGGCCTTCTGCGAGCCTACTGTCGTGCACGAGGCATCCGCCAGATCTTCACGCTTCCGGGCTCTCTGCAGCAAAATGGGATTGCTGAGCGCCGCATTGGCATGGTCATGGACGTCGCCCATACGTCCATGATGCATGCGGCTGCCCCCCATTTTCTGTGGCCGTTTGCGGTCCGGTACGCGGCGCATCAGATCAACCTTCACCCCAGGGTCTCGATGCCGGAGACCTCCCCAGCTTTGCTGTGGACGGGGAAGGGTGGTGATGCGTGTGCGTTCCGTGTCTGGGGATCTCGGGCGTTTGTCCGCGACTTGTCTGCGGACAAGCTTTCCCCTCGTGCTGCTCCTTGCGTCTTCCTTGGCTTCCCCCCCTGACGCGCCAGGGTGGCAGTTCTACCACCCCACCTCTCGCCGTGTTCTGTCCTCCTAGGACGTCACGTTTGACGAGTCGGTCCCCTACTACCGCCTCTTCCCCTACCGCACTCCGTCCCTCCCCCCGCCACCGCTCTTCCTTGTGCCAGGTCCCCCCCCCGGTAGACCCCCTCCCCACTCAGTGTCCTGCCCCTTCAGGTGTGTCCCTGGTAGACGCAGTCGAGCCTGTTGAGGTTACTAGTGTCTCTGGTTCTGCTGAGGGTGCTGAGCCTGGGGGTGCTGACTCTGGGGGTGCTGAGCGTGTGGGTGACACGCCTGGGGGTGCTGAGCCTGAGGGTGCAACTACTAGGGGTGCTGAGCCTGGGGGTGCTGAGCCAGGGGGTGCTACCACAAAGGGTGCTGAGCCTGGAGGTGCTGAGCCTGGGGGTGCTACGCCTGGGGGTGCTGAGCCTGGGGGTGCTGAACCTGGGGGTGCTACGCCTGGAGGTGCTGAGCCTAAGGGTGCGGAGCCTAAGGGAGTTGGGACTGCTCGTGTGGAGTCTGGCGGTGCTGGGCCTAGAGGTTCTCCGGGTCCTTCGTCTCGGCGGGAGCCACTCTCTCCACAGGAGCTGCGCGAGTGGTTTGCCCGGCGCTGGAGGCGTGCTGCTGGAGCTGGAGGTTCTTCGGCTGCTGAGGGTGCTGGTGCCGCGGGTCCCGGAGGTGCTCGTACTGGGAGTGCTGGAGCTGCTGGGCCTGCGGGTACGACTGGAGCTGGAGCTGCTGAGGGTGTTGGCGCTGAGGCTACTGCTGTCGGTCTTGGAGGCGGTCCTGCTGGGGGTGCTACTGGTGCTGCTGGAGGTAATGGATCTGGGGGTGCTGTTGGCGCTGGTGCTGTCGGTGGGGGTACTGGTGCTGTCCCTGCTGTGTCTGGAGTCGCCGCGCGGCCTCGGCCGTACTTCGTTCCGCTCCTTCAGCAGGTTCTTGGTCTCCCGCCTTCACCTGGTCCTCCTCCTCCCTTAGAGTGTCCACAGCCTGTCCCGTCACAGTAACAGTTACAGCCGGCCTCCCCACTGCCTGCTCCTTCTCCCTACACTGGTCCTACTAGAGGTCTTCCTGAGCGTCGTGAGCTTACATCTCGCCCTGCGTCGCGTGTCCGTCCTTCTCGCACTAGTGGTCGTGGTTCGTGTCAGCGTCCTCCTCCTATCCCTAGCACGCACCGGATGTATCTACGTACGTCCACTGCTCCTCTGCATGCCCCTTTGCCTTCTCCTCCTGAGTCCTCTCTTCCTGCTCTTGCCGACCCGGAGTCGGACTCTCTTCGTGCTGCCAGTCCTATTGTCACGCGTCTCCTTGCTACTGTTGTCACTGACCCTTCCTTTGAGTCCACTGCTGCGTCTGCCCTAGTTGCTGAGCTCGTCGACTTTGCTGCTCGATGTCGTCTAGACTACGCTGCTAGTCTTGTCGCTGAGTCTGAGTCTGTCTGTCCTCCGTCCGTCGGGGTTGAGTGTGCCCTTGGCACGGACGTCCTTGAGGACAAGAAGGAGGATTTCCAGTGTTTGGCTGCTGCTTCACCTCATCTCGTGTCCGTACTGCTTACCCCTGAGGGAGACACGGATGCACGAGACATCCCGACTCCGCGCTCTTACGCGGAGGCGATAGAGGGTCCCTACTCCTCACAGTGGCAGGCAGCTATGGACACAGAGATGGTTTCCTGGAAGTCCACAGGCACCTACGTTGACAACGTTCCCCCGCCTAGGGCGAACATCGTCAGTGGCATGTGGATTTTCAGGGTGAAGCGGTTGCCAGGTTCTCCGCCTGTCTTCAAGGCGCGTTACGTGGCTCGTGGGTTCAGTCAGCGGCAGGGAGTTGACTACTTTCAAACCTTCTCTCCCACCCCGAAGATGACCACTCTTCGGATACT